GCAATATCTACATTCCTAATAGCTTCCCCCTTGATTGGGGATTGACCAAAACTGACAGAAGAGGAAAAACTATTAAAAATCCATTTAACAACCAGGATTTAATCGTGGTTGTAGAACATAGGTTCCCCAACGCACTTCAGCACTAGCACCTAAAATGGGATACTTTAAAAGTACTATACGCTAGCGACCACTTTCCCATAAAAATCACCTATGGAGACAATAGCACAACGACTCAAAATTACCTCCAACCAAAATAGTATGTAAGATAAACAAACTGGTATACCGGTATACCAAGAAAACCATCCTGGATTAACGAAACAATAAACAATTTTCAACAAATCATAATCTTAGCCTCAGACAAATCCTTTGGAATTCCCAGACTGCAAAAATCAAGAAAAGATCGGTACCGTGGTGGAGAGAAGAATGCAAAATTGTCATACAAGAGAGCCGTCACGCTTTCAATAGAGCAAAAAAACATCCCACAAACAAAAACCGAGTTTAAAAGGAAACGCGCCAACTTTCGTAGAATAATTAATGAAAATAAAGAATAATCGTGAAGAAACTACGTATCATCGACAAATCCACAAACACCAACATCTGTAGTATGGAAAAAAATCAAATACATAAATAGATCCAAATCCTCTACGAATATCCAATTCCTGGAATCTGATGATGGAAATGTAATTCAAGCATTGCTAACACATAAGCTAAAAAATTCCAAGAAAATTCAAGTAACATAAACTCACCACACCCTACAATAAACCACAAGAATATACACCATAATCTGATTCACGACGACAACAAGTCATTACTCAACACTCAAAGAAATAAGCTCCATCCTTACATCAACAAAAACTCCGCCCCAGATAATATCCCCAACTCACTATTAAAAATGCTCCCAAAAACTGTAATAAATTACCTGTCAAAAATCTTCAAGTGTATATAGATCCATATAGTTTTCCCTTAAAATTTACAAAAAGCAATAATAATTCCAATTCCTAAGCCAAACAAATGCAATCCCTATGCAAACCGTAGCAGCTATCGCCCAATTGCATTAACTAATACCATGTGCAAACTACTAGAAAAAATCGTAAACTGTAGGCTTAGGTAGTACCTTGAAGTAAAAAAACTTCTTAACCCAAACCAATACGGTTTTCGACGTTCAACCATAGACGTCCTAACGAACTTGGAAACAAATATCTGCGACGCCTTCCTCAAAGAATACATAGCTGCCGTATGTCTCGATATTGAAAAAGCATTCGACACAATCTCGAGAACCAAAATTATTAATTCCCTCTTCGAGTTAAAAGTAAATGGCAATATACTATCTCTCATAACCAACTTCCTATCCAATAGATCAATCCAAATCAGAGCAAATGGACCTCTGTCACATCCAGATATAATCATAAACGGAGTCCCACAAGAATCAGTAATGAGCACCATACAATTTTTAATAGGAATCAACGACATCACCATCAATCTCAAGCCACCAATAAAAACCCAGCTATTAGCAGATGACATAACGAACACATGTAGCGGAAAAAATACAAGCTCCATTAACAAACATTTACAAACAACCATCAATATCCTTCAGGACTGGTCAAAAACAACTGGCTTAAAACTATTTCCCAAAAAAATCCTATCCTATTCATTAGAAAACGACCCCCCACCTAAACTATATCAGAGTAATCTTGAAATTAACTTCACTGACACCATCAAAATATTAGGCCTTATTCTCGACAAAAATTTATCTTGGGCGCCATACCTAAAAACCTTAAAAGAGTCCTGTTTAAAAAGATCTAACATTATAAAAACCCTTTCCAATAATAATTGGGAAACAGAAAAAGGCACTCCTCTAGAAACATACAGAGCGTTAATTAGATTCAAACTAGATTACGGCTCCGTTTATGACTCAGCCAAATGCTCCACCAAAAAAATAATTGATCCACTCCTAGACTGGCCACAGATGCATACCGAACATGCCCCATAAACAGCCTACTATTCGAAGCCAAATAAATGGCACTTGAATCCAGAAGAAGGATCCTAACTCTTAAATACGCACTAAAAGTCATCCATTCCAAATAATCCTTTCTACATAAACATTTTCTCCAATGGATACAAAAATTTCTACATCAATAAACCCAACATTCCCTCCCTTTTCCATATCAGACTTACCAAAATCCTCCAATCCACTACTTTCAAAATCCACCCCACCGTTGAACGTAAACCATAAATCCCTCCATAGACAATAGAAGCATTCCCAACTAACACCAGTCTTGCCGAACTCCCCAAAAAAATCCTCAGTCCAACTGGCCGCAGGACTCGATTCCTAGAACTAAACCACAACCAACTTAACACAAAGGCTACAATCATCTGGATTCCAGCTCATCAAGGAATAGAATGAAATGAAAAAGCCGACGCAGCGAAAGAAGCCACAGTTTCCTCACTTACTAACAATCGCAACTATCTTCCAATCCCCTGCGACGACTAAATAATCCATTGCAAGAAAGTAACAAAAAATGAATGGAATAATACGTGGAAAACAACTAAAAGTCAACTCGACAAAAGCATTCAAGACTTTCACCAGCAAACACCAAACTTTAACAGCAGGAAGGGAGGGGAATAATTATCACACGCCTAAGAACCGGTCATACCAAGCTGACAGATGAACACAAAATTAAAAAAACTACACCACCCACTTGCACGCAGTAACCGTCTACTAACAATAACTCACAAACTGCACGAATGCCACACCACAGAAACCCAAAAATAAAAATACGAAATCGACGCAAACATAAACCTGATTTCTCAAAATAACGTACAAAGAGTATTAAAATATCTCAGAAACATAAGCTACTACACACATATCTAATGGCATCGTCGTCGCTAATGACCTCGCTGTCGATGCGACATAAGAAAAATAGAAGAAGCAGAAGAAGAAAATATTAAAGACTATGTTATAATGTCATTTGTTTGGAATATCCTATAATAATCTATAATAATAAAATTTTTAAATGGAACTCTACAATTTTTATCACATGTGACATCATAATATGTAATCTTGAACACCTATAATTTTTATTTGACATGTTTTTTCATATTTATCATTTATATTTCTCGAGATATTTGGCACAACCTGGGATTCATGTTATCATTGAAAAATAAACTCAAAACGGGAACTAACATCTTGCTGGCGTTAGAACTGGGTATCGAGTTATCTGAAAGTTATGTCCGTACGAACCTTGATAACATACAGCATGCCATGTGTTATATGGCTTTTTCTTTGTGAGAATTCCCAAATTCATTTAAACAAATTTAAACAAATTTTCCCCTATCTTGAGATCCCAAAAATCTCCGGAACCAATGGAAAGGAAGGAGATTTCCTTAATTTTCTATCGGCTTATGACACATTAGAAATCGTTTGACTTCTGATCAATTCAGATTACTTCCTAAGCAGCCTCTAACATTGAATTTGATAGTAACATTGCGTTTAAGCAAAAGAGACAATATCTTGGTGGTCAGCGCGTAGTAACCAGTACAGTCGTTAATGTATGGAAAATTACGATCTTCGTCCCAGTTTTGTATCGTATCGCGCACAAACACTACTGCTCTACATGCAAATAACAAAAATAGCAAAAAAGAGTCAGTAAGAATAATGAGACTATTGCAATAAAAAAAAATTATTTGCATAATAATTCAAGTGAATAAATTACATCCGTTGAATAATCAAAATATCAAATTGAACATGTTTTTCTATTAAAGTCAATACGTAACGTTGAGCCTAGAAGAGAGCGAAAAAAAGACGGGACAAAAAAAAGGAAGACTTGTTTGTACTGAAATATCAATAGATGTTATTTTCTCTCTATCTAGTCGTAGAATATAAGCACATTACATTAAAGTGAGTTTGAAAATGGAATTTTGATTTTTTTTTTCCAAGAGAATGATTGAGTTGCAACTCATGGTTCTTCTGACATTTTTATTCTGTATCCATTTCTGTATTCAGTCATCTGTATAATAGATGAAACATATGGAATAATATTTATTTACATAAATATCATAGATGTTTCATTCTGTAATAGCATAATCATGTTATACTATTTTGTGGAATTCAGATGTTTATTATCTAAGTGTAACGTTGCAACACCGTTTTTCTTAAATTTTTCAGTTCCACAGTTTTTCTACTCAATTTGTCCTTTGAAAAAGATAAAATTAATATCTACAGTAGTTTAAAATAAATATTTAAATTTGCAAATTCCATTTATTGATAATAAATGAACTGAATTTCTATATTCAATTAATGTCACGTATAGTTATAAAGTTACGATGTAATTAAAACCTAATCATCTAAGTAAAAGTGAAAATAAGAAAATGTATTATAGCGAAATAGATCAGAAGCCGCTCTATGTGCTGTCGCATTCTATATTATTCTAATTATTCTGTTTTCTCAGTCAGCTATGTCGCAATCAGCTCATTACGTTCGTATCGTGAGTTACGTGTAAAACAATTTTATATCGTGAGCTTACATTCTTTAATTCTACCTAAAGCTATGATTATTTGTTTTGAACTCGTTACAATTGTGTTTCAAAATTATAAATGCTTATATGGATCTTTAAAGAGATGGTGTATTCAACATGTTATTGTAATATAAATAATAATAAGTAGAATGTTATATATATGTTATATATATTAATATCTATATAAAAATTGAATCAGACGTATAACAATTCGATGAAAGTTAAAGAATAAGAAAATTACTCATCCAGAATTAAATTCATTTTTTGTATCACTATATGAATAATCTATAAATAAAACAACAAAAATTTGAAAATTTTACCTAGGAAGATTCAATTTCGAAATCATAATTCCTCAAACTCTGCTTTCAATCGAAAGAAAAACATTTTGCTAAATCGAGTATATTCTAATATACTTGACGTAAATCCATGCTAATTAGTATGTCAGGAGTGGGATACCGAAGAATCAATGGTCATATATGCGAACGATTATTATTCAACTATTTCGCTATTCAGTTACATGTACGAGAAGAAGTAACACTTCACGGAATTTAGATCCAGGAAGTATCTACACAGAAACTCAAAGTTATAGTGAATTGGTTGAAAGTAGTGTTTGAAAGAATAATATACAGGTACTCTATTTTTTAACAAACAAATTAACTAAATTAAAATTAATAATTTATTGCAGTGAAATAATTATAAGATATAAAAATTCCTATTTTGGGGGGGAGTTAATTGTTTATAATTGGAAATTAATTATTAATAAAACTACTAACAAATGGGGATTAATTATTAATAAAATTACTATATATAATGCAAATCATTCATCTGTAACTTCATTTACAGTTAAAATAGCATCCAAAAAGAAGTCAAAAATTGACAGACTAATTGATTATGTTTGCGATGTTTATCTTTCTTCTATGTAAGAATCTTCTATTGTTATTGAAATGTTACACTTTTTATACGTTTTTATACAAATTGATATCTTCAAGAACATAAATGAATATAAGATTGTGTATTATAATATGAAGAAGGACAAGATCCTTCTATTTATATTCATATTATCATCGTCTTTTATACAATAGATTTTACAAAATTAAAAATTAAAAAAAAATTTTAATTTTAAAAAAATTAAAAATTAAAAATTAAAAATATCTCTTAAATTTTTCGATATACTTTTTTATAGAGAATATTGAGCTGCATCAAAAATATATTATTCGATATAAAAAAGTGACGGTTATCTCAAAATTTCCGAAATGTTTCCATTTAAAAAAAAGAAAAAAAATACATCTATTACAGAATGTGCTTTTCCAAGCCATATATAAAAAATTTTTTCATACAACATATACTTCAGGACACAAATCACTTTGTATATATATTTTATATATAATTATATAAATAATGTAATAATACATATGTTATTATATTATTTATAATATATTATTATATTATAATAATATATAATTACATATAAATAATTATATTATATCATATATAAATTTATGTTATTTGTATATAATATAATAACAACTTGTGGAAAACCGACTGGAAAGTAATTCTACATGTAAAAATGAATTGCAAAGAAAAGAAAATTTTTTTGTTCGAGACTTTGTTTTTGAGAAAATCGACTTTAGATATTTTTTAAGTTAAACTTAAATTAAATTAATTTTCTCACATCACAGAAGTAAATAAATTACATGAGAAAATAATGTAAAAGACGTTTCATTTTCGATAAAATTTAAAAATTTTCAAATACACGTATTAAAGCAAATGTTAGCGAAACATATCTAAAATCTATTTTTTTGAATATGACGCTTTGAACGAAAAAATTTTATTCTATATTTTTCACTTATTTTTGCATATAGAACATCTTCGATTATTTGTGCCTGTCCAATACAGAATTAGCCAAATTCGAATATACTTAAAAAATTTTCAACTTCAAATTTCAATACAAAAATTTTCTTTTTCTTTTTCGAGTCACTGTATGTATACTGCTACAAGGCGCGAATAAAATTCAAAATATTAATACGCAAGTATTGTTTAAACGATAATAAAATGAAAACTTTATCTTTAGTCTCATCTTATTTTATAATGTTCTACAACAAAATTTTCTTAGAACATAATAATGTTCTTTCGTTTTGATAATTGAAAACGAAATCGTTTGATTTTTCTTATTGTAGTGTCAACCAAAGAATAATAGAAATACAATTGCATAATATTTCATTCATTTATTTTTTAAGTTAAATTATTCAGATTAAATTATTACAAGTTTCAAAATTAGAAGTACAAAAGTCTTCAGAATTCATTGCATAAATATATGAAATATCCGAGTTATAATATTTAGGTACGCAACTAAATTCCTATTTAGTACACATTTTTTTTATTATGTTCATAAAAATTTGAAATTATACAAAGGCCTAGTGAAATATGAAAAAAATCACTAATAGAATCGTAAAAATGTAAAATGTGAAGTGTGAAAAAAAAATGAAAGAAATACTAAATGTTTGCACAAAATTTATTTCATAGTTATAGAATTATACTATTACATTTAACTTAATATTTTACATTATTTCATATTTTATATTATTATATTTAATTTATAGATTAATGTATAGCATTATCTGTTTCATTAATTGTTAAATAAATAGAGAATATAATATCTCAGATTATTTCGTCGTTGGGAAAATTACAAAGCAACTTTATACATTTATGCAAATTAATTAAATATTCAGAATTAAGTAAAGTGAAAGTTGTAATTGAAGTAAAATGACGTATAGTTTCATGTATTTCATTGACGTCGTCTATATTAAATTCTTCGAATGTTAAGAAAAATCTTATCTCAGATTTGATGATGAAAATGTACATACTAGTATGCATAAGTATTTGGACACTTTCAAATTATTACAATACAATTTAAATGTACTTCTTTAATTTAATCTTAACATATATAGGAAATAAAGGAAAAGAATAGTGAACGTTGTAGTATAGTGTAATTATGAAGATTCTGCAGAGCGATATTGTGTCTGTTCGTTGTTGAAATTTTAGAAATATTATGATTCTAACCGCATTAAAAAATTTGATTTTGTAAAACGGCTATTTATTGATTATTTGAAACCTGAAAGTGCTGATATAAAAATTAATAATAAAAGAATGTTCAAAACACAGAGAACAAAAGTTTTTAATGAAACTGTACTAAAATTAATGTCCAATTTTATCTTCGATGCATTAGAAGTTTAGAAAAAAAATTCGTCGTTAAAGTTTCTAGTATGAATATGAATAAACTGCATCGAAAATAGCATTATTCTTATGAAATTAATTATAATGAAATTAATTATAATGAAATTATAATGAAATTAATTATTACATTGCAAAATGGTTATACAATTCATTTCAAAGTTTTAAATCGAAATATCTTGTTAATCAGACATTTTCGAGAGAAATGTTGAATTGCACAAATTTAATGATTTTAGGGAGAAATATAAGTATCCTATTTTTTTTTTTATTTGTGAAACTTCAAATGAATATCTGTGTTTTTCTTGGCTATTCTTATTCTGTGAAGAAAAAAAGAAGGAACTTCTATTTCGATCGTTTTTTTTTTTTTTTTTTTATATATCGAACACCATTTATTTTTGCTATTTTTACACAAGAATGAATAATTAATTCTTTTGTTATTATCAGATATAAAATATTATCAATAGTATTTGTATTCTTCTATTTGTTTTACTATAAAAATAATCTTAATTATTTTATTTTTAATAGATTGGCAGCTGTGTGTTTTTTCTTTACGATCAGATAAAAGATATTTCAAAATGGACGTACAACTGGATCATGTATATATTACACAACCTAGCTACTTTTATGTAACCGATTTCGAAAAGAATTTTAACTACAAAAATGGCCATGAGTGGATGAAGGATAATCATATAATTTCTTTTTATTGCTGTGCTCTTTACCTTGTGCTAATTTTTGGTGGACGTTATTACATGTCGAATAGACCAAAATTCGAATTAAGAAGACTGCTTGCTATTTGGAGTGGATCTCTAGCAATATTATCTATTATTTTTTTTGTTAGAACGTTACCGGAAGTTTATAACATATTAAGCAATCATGGATTCTACCACAGTATTTGTACAGCTAGGTAATTTCACTTCCATATCTTATTCTTTGAAAATAATATTTGTTTCAGTATTGTCCATTCTTATATCAGACATTTAAAGAATTGAAGCGTTATTCGAGTAAAAAATAGATTTCGAATATTGTTTTTATTATAATAACACTTATTCGTCCCTTATGCAAATTTGGGAAAAAATTTTTTTTTTAAATGTTACATTATTTTGCAGCGTAAGTATAAACACAGAGGTGAAGTTCTATAACATTCATTTATATATATATATATATATGTACAATATTTTTGATATTTTCTTCGTTAACAAAGTTGCAAAGTTTGCATTGTGTAATAATTGCAACTTACTGCCTTCTAATTATTACACAACAATTATTTATTCAGTATTCTAGCTCTTTGAAAATGTATGGTTATTTATGTGCATTTGTTTTGAACAGTGACTGTAGTAAATAAAGAAAATTCCAAGAAAACGATAAAACTGTGACAGGTAATGATAAAATGTCGATGTGAAATTGAACATCTGTATTTAAAAGTAGAATTTCTACATCATATACACAATTAAATAGAAATTTACTGCGATTTATTGCTGACTAAAGAATTTAATTATTAAATAAATTTAACTATTTAATAAAATTTCAAATTGAAAAAATAAGGGACGACTGAGGGCATTTAATTATAAAACACTGTATTGATTGTTTGTTTGTACATTATGTACTATATTTCTTTCATTTCGGCATTATAGAAAAAAAAATGTTATATGAAGTTTATTCGTAAACGTTTTGATACAAAATTATAAGCAAATTTTGAACCTAGCTTGAATATATGCATGGTAACAAATATTAAATTTAATAACTTTATGTTTCTAACTTCATTTCTTGATTTATATTTTTGCAGAATTCTAAAATAAGATGTACAGTACAAAAGCGAAGAATTAATTTAACGAATTAATAATAAAGTAGTTGGGATGTAACGAATTACTCAAGAAAGTCAGAATGTAATAAATTCCAAGTTACAACGATGTTAAACTAGCCGATATAGAGAGTGGTCATTTTCAAATTAAAATTTAAGAATTTTTAACGATTTTCGCGCTTTAATTAATATCTTCTAAATAATATCTTCTAAGTATAGACATACGTTCAATATTTGCTTACAATTTTGTACCAAAGCTTTTATAAGTAAATCTCATGTAATATTAAGTAAATCTCTGTAATATTTCTTCTTATTTTTACTATGCTTTTATATTTTTGTCGGAGAAGCGGAAAATACAACTTTCTTTGTTTTAATTTGTATTTGTGACTTTGTTTTTCTATGAAGTTTACATCACATAACAATTTTCTTATCTAAGGTACTGATTATTGTTTAGTGAAATCCGCATATATAAAGTGTTACAAAATATGTAAACTATGTTTATCACGATTATGAATATCAAGAATTAACAATATTAATGCGATTTAAAAATATAATTTCTTGGATTTTTATTTTTGTGTTTTGCACATCTTCACAAAAAAAGTACATGAAACAATACGTTAATATCGTAGCTAAAAACAGTTACAAAAGTGTAACAGATAGATGTTGCATAAATTTATTGATCATCATATCTTTCAAAATGTTTTAAAATCACTCTCAATTTTGAGAGAAGAGTATTTCCTATAATGGCAAAAGGAATAGAAACAATTGTAGTGATTTATACTACTACCATGTTCCTCAAAATAAATAACGAATATAAAGTAATTATAATTGTTGATCAACAAAACAATCGTTTCCTTTCACCAATGTGGAAAACGACAAAACTTTCTATGGGACTTAATATAGACAACAAACAATAATTAAAATTATAATCATATGAAAATTTCTATAAATAATGCCTAATACTGTTTACATATAATATCGTGATACCATACAGTATTGATTTGCCTACTATTCCAACAAATACATAACAATTTGTCACAAAAACAAATTTTGTTTTGATAACACTCTGTATATTGACATATATTAGAACGATTTCGATCTACTAACAATAAATTCATTAATAAGTGCAATTTTTCACTAATCGCAAATTTTTCCTTTTAAAAAAATAATTATTTCTTTTTATATTTTATTTAAAATAATAAAAAACTGTATTTTATCGATTATTTTTGAAATATAAAGTAAGTTTATTATATCGAAAAAATCGATCATATTTTTAATGCTGATTTATATGTCATAGTTTTTAAAATACGTAATAATATTTCGAAAGTATTAAGTCACAGTAAAAATAATTGCGTTCTTTGCAGCACATATGATCCAGTAAACAGTTTTTGGTCATGGTTGTTTTGCCTATCGAAAGTGCCAGAATTGGGCGACACATTTTTCATTGTGTTACGGAAACAACCATTGATATTTCTACATTGGTACCATCACGTGACAGTTCTTCTTTATACATGGTACTCTTGTGTAGAAATCTCAGGATACTCCAGGTGGTTTACCATAGTAAACAGTTTCATTCATTCTTGGATGTACTCTTATTATGCTTTGAAAGCAATAAGATTCAAACTACCAAAATGGCTCGCTATGACAATTACTATACTACAGATAGCGCAAATGTTTTGGGGTATATTTGTAACCATATCGGCGTATTATTACGCATATATTGCTCAAATTCAGTGTAACGTTCCCGTTAAGAATCTCACATTTACTACGTTAATGTACCTCAGCTATCTTATGTTATTCGTCAATTTTTTCAAACAAACTTATTTTTCTAACAAACGTGCAAACAAAGTCGAAAGAAAAAGTCCAACTAAGACTGAGTGAAATACGTAAAAGCTAGCACTGCTTTGGGAAAATATATTTTGTCGAAATCTCTTGTCGCTGGATGTTTTCTACAAAAAAAAGAAAAAAATAGTTGACTCATATATGTCGGAAACTTAATTTAAGAGATATTCTAACTTTAATTTTTAAAATCTATCGCATGAAAAATAAGGACAATATCAATACAAAAATATCGATCCTGTCAAACAATTAAAGTCAAAATATCTCTTCCATTAATAATTCACACACACATGCGCGCGCACGCACACAAACATATACATAAATTTGTTTATAATGCATTACAAAATACATTTAAATCCACTTAAAAAAATAAAGTTAACTTCACATGATCTCTATACGTTTATTTACAAGATTTAGATCCCATGTTGTTCAATTCCATAAACTGAAATGAACAAAGAAATTACAATTATAAATATTATTCTTAAAAATTTGCATTGAAATTCACTATTATTTGTACTGCTTTTCTATAATAGAAAAATTCGTGAAAATTCTATTGTCTAGCTTGAATCCTATCATTATCTATCATTGTCTATCTCTCTTTTGAAGATATTAAAAAAACTTCGTTTTTTTAACGTAAAATCGAAGGGACCATAATACGGCAATAATGATTGTTTTGTAGATGGAGGGGTTTCAGAGATATTAATATGACTTTTTAAAATGAAAATATATATTTTTTAATATCTTGCCACGCATGCAGAAGTCCTATAAATGCTATGCATGCCGATAATCACTTATCTTAAGACTAAGAATACAATAAATGAATAACGTTACAGTTTTCATAGAGATAGGTACGTATATTTATTTGCTCACTTCTCAATATATTTAATTATGACCTGGGAAAAATAATTTATTTGTTACTTCTTAATAATTTTCACCCATCGGAAGGCGACAATAAACTTACAATTAGTGACATCATTCCGACGAATTAAAAAAAGAGTCACAAGTGAGAGTGAAGGAAGTGATAGTGGATATAATAATACTGTTTTGTTGAAAGAACAGTTTGCTATCTGATAAGAAGGAAAAAAATTATGAAGCGTACAATTGGTCACGCGTATCTACGGAATAATAGCTAACGCAAAGGATTAATGCACTGATCAATGCAACTCGACATTCTTTATAAAAAGAAAAAAATATTAACTCATATATGTCGATAATTATTAGATTTAAAGATATTTGAAACTTAATTCCATAAATAATGTTCAATCTCGATTAAATCTTTTATTATTAAAGTATCAACGCACTATCTACATTTGATTTGTTCATAATGTATTTTGTCCTGATTTCTGGTCTATTTCCGTACCAAATTTTTGTCCTTGTTTTTTGTGCATCACCGTTCTCTATATGACAATTTTTTCTTTATGACAAATTTAATCTTATAAATCAGTGTGACGGATTTAACAACAATATTAATGAATCTAACATGTGCATTATCTAACTATTTATAATTTTGTCTCTGTTTTCAATCGTTTTGTTCTCAATTCTTTGTCTTTATTCTAATTCTCTATTGTTCTTCTATTCTTAAGGGTATATTCTGTGAATAAATAAATAAATGAATGAATGAATTTTGTAAAATGTTGTAAAAGACGAGAAAAGATAAGTGCCATCTAGAATACATATTATCCTTGTTTTTCATGCAATAAGATTTATAAAGCTAAAAATATAAAGTATCTACTAAACTTTATTTATATATATTATTATTTATATATATAATATTTATTTATTTATATATAATATTATTTATATATATTGTAGTATCGGTTATTATAATTAATCTGTAGTTATAATTTTAGTTATGTTTAAATATAACAGATGGCCTGTTTGTTGATTATAGAAATACGATAAAATATGAATGTGATGCGAGAAGCACAACGTAGGCACTTTTCTTTTTGAAAAGAACAGAGTCGAGCGAGTTGAAAAACGAGTCGAGAGAGTCGTGAGAGAGCATTCAGAAAGCATTATTAAAAGTATCAAGAGTTTATTTGAGTTGTTAATTCGTATTGTTTGAATGTTATTTGTCTTGTTTAATTATTTGTTGTTATATTATCATTACTTTTATTAAATAAACATTTATAGCTCTACGATATATTTATATCTCTACATTACTTTAACTGTAGTTCGTTTAGTTGTCCTAGATGGCCTGTAGTGTGAAGAAATTGTAAAGACTGTGGTAAGTAAAAACGTGCTCTACAAAGAATTAACCTCGTAAAATTTTATTTGGTTCGTTATCGCGCGGACAAGAATCGGATCTGAGTTAATTCTCACGGCTACGACGCTCAGATAATTTTGATAGTATCTTCTGTTTCACGGTTACGGTAAGACTGTCTCGCCGCTTGCCTAGTGATAAGGAAGAAGTGTCCCGCGCTTTCCTATTATCGCGCTCCGAAAAAGGTGACACTGTCTATATCCCGGAGTCGCACATTTCGGCGGAGAGATTGAACGGAGGTAGGTGTCGCTGTGCTACATTGAACGCGGTGTGCTAGATGTTCAGCGGACGTAGCTGTCGCTACACTATCGCCTTCCGAGTCGCTCGATCTGGTAAGGAGATGGTATTTGTATCCACGAATAGATTCATGGTTCATGTTCTTCGCTCTGTTCCATATATGCTGGCTTCAATCGTTCCGTCGAAATTATGATTTCCTTCCCTTTGTAGTCTATTAAAAATACGTTGTCCGAAATATGCTATATTACGCGGTATGGATCCTCATATGGCTGTTCCAGAGGTTGCTTTATATGATCTACTCGCACAAATACATGCGGAGTTTCGAAAAATTATTTAATAAATTTCGAAAAATTAAAATTTATTAAATAATTTATTAAAAATGAAATATGACCATCGTGAATGATGATTTGTCGGTTTCGGTCGTATTGTCTGAATCTGTCTACCGTAAAATCTTTGTGCGACTCTGTGTAGACGAAAAATTTTCCAAGTAGTCTGAGGGGTGTACCGAATACCATTTCAGCCGCGATTGCTTGTATGTCTTCTTTATAGCTATTCCTCAAACCATGACTGTTGGGAATACTTCTAACCAGTTTTTATTTTCGTGGCATCTGATTGCAGCTTTCAAGGATCTATGCCACCTTCTTATCATACCGTTGGATGCTAGATGATACACTGTAGTATGGATATGCCTGCATCCAATCAGTTTGATTAAGGCATTGCGTTCTGCGGTCCGTAGTTATTGTTGACGGAGCTCTATTGCCAGGCAATATCTGTAATCATTGGAAACGCTCTGGAACAACGAAATGTTTCGGTAACTTGTCTATCTATTTCATTTCTTTGACAGCTTATACAATTTCTCGCTCAGTGCAAAATGTCTTTATTCATCCCCGGCTGTATAAGTCTTTTAGCTAACATCTGTTTAGTTAGCGAGGTTGTGTACGCTGTCGAAGATTTTCTCTGATTGTTTCTGTCGCAATAAATCAGTATCTTCTGAATTATTAATATTCAGCTTCCTTAGCTGTAGAACTGCGTTTTGTAAGACCTGCGGTAATTCCGAGTCTTTTATTTGCTGTTTGGCATGTTCTGTGGTGCTCACCACCACTGGCTACTGATAACGTCCAGCTGTGATAGAGTGTCTGCCACTTCGTTATTAGATTCCGGAATGTGGGTTATATTAGCTGAAAACTGTCCTATATAGTCAAGTTAGCGTAGCTGTTTAGGTGAGGCTTTTTTTGATTTCTGTAGGAAGGTGAACGTCAATGGTTTGTGGTCAGTTTATTATTGTAAAGTCTCGTCCTTCGAGTAAGTGTTTCAATTGTTTTATCGCTTTGTATAGGGCTGTTATTATTTGCGATCGTACATATTATATTTCACTTCCGACGGCGAGTATTTCTTTGAAAAGAAAGCTATTGGTTCTCACATTCTGTTCATCTTCTGCTGAAGCGCAGCTCTACAAGCTGCGTTAAAAGCGTCTGTGATTAGAAGTAAAGGACTATTATTTTTTGGATGCACCAGAAGTACTGCGTCAGCCAACGAGTCCTCAGACGCTTGGAACGCTTTTTCGACTTCCTCTATCCATGTAGTTTATCTTTTTTTTTTTTTTTTTTGCGCCCTGAAGAAATGCATTTAAAAAAGCCTGTGCAGCAGCGGTATTTTCGATGAATCTGCGATAAAAATTGACCATTTCAAGGAAACGTCTTAGTTCGGTGATGATCGTCGGCTTTGGGTAGTTGACTACTTTTCCTGGTACAAGCTTGGCTCCTTTCTTGTCATGTACCCCAGGAACGGCACTGTTGATGATCCGAATACGCATTTCGCAGTTGATCGAAATGTCGTACTGTTGCCTATTAAACACTTGTCGTGGTGGTTAGAATGCTCGGACTCGTTGGCGGAGGTTATCGTACATCGTCGATATCAAAACGCAAAGTTAAGACTCCGACGATCGACATCTATAAACCGTTGGAAAGTCTGAGCCGTATTCTTTAGACCAAATGACATAACGCTGAATTCGAAAAGACCGAAAGGCGTAATTATTGCTGTTTTTTCACGGTCTTCCGGAGCCATTTTGGTATCTGGTAGTAGGCTTTTTCGAGGTCAAATGTCGAGAAAACTGTCTTTCCGTTCAACGCGTGTGTGAAGTTGTGCAAGTGTGGGATAGGATATTTGTCTGGTGTCGTTTGTGCGTTCAGTCGACGGTAGTCACTATATAACCTTCAAACTCCACATTTCTTTGAAACTATGTACAGCGGTCTGGCTCATTCGCTAGAGGACAGTTGGCAAATTCCTTGTTGAATCAGGAGTTGGAATTCCTCACGACTTTGTACTTTTCCGGTGCCAATTTGCAAGCTCGCACATGGTCTGCTTTTGGTGATTATGTGGTAGCGTATTTTGTGCTTCGGTCCGTCATGTCTTTGTGTCGGTCTAGTAACGTCGATGTATCGTTTTAGCAAAGAATCGTATTTGTCGCCGTTTCCATTACCTTCTGTAGTGACGATTAAGTGGTCGTGCTTATTTATCCGAGTCTCTGTATCTTTGTGTAGTCATCTATTATGCGTTTGTTCGTCAGGTCCACCAGAAGACTATAATGCTTCAGGAAGTCGGCACCAATAATCGGTTGTTGCACCCTCGCGTCTATGAATTTTGCTGTTTATGGACGCTGTAATTCGAGGTCCAAAGTAAGCTCAAGCATTTTAACAGTTTTTATTGCACTATTAGATAAATATATACACAGAGGGAAATGGTCCAAACACTTATTTCTTGCGAGAATGTTGCAAGAGCGAAAGTAGGAGACACGCACAGGTTGCACACGCAGAAAGACACTTACGTTAAGTGGATCTTCGGTTTTAGAAAATGTCACTGTGTTGCTGGTGCGTTGGAGTCGACTCTTATGTACCACGATTTTCTTTGTGTCCTTTCCGGTCAAGGGATCGGAAAGTACATTGTTTTTCTGCAGTCTGTACGGTCAGGCCCATGAGACATTTTCGATAATTGTCAAAGTGTGACGGTGTCGAAGAGGGAGAGAAAAAACAACAAATCAACTCCTGTTCATAGCGCGGAATTGCGCCGCAGAGAATGTTTCTTTAACTTGTACTAGGTTTTTCGAAAAATAAAGATATTTTAAACTATTATTTTACTCGGGTATTACTCTAACTTATTCTTATACGTAGAGAAGAATATTATATTCTTATTCTAATCCGTAAGAAAGAAAAGAGTGAGAGACGTGAATTAAATGGAAGACAAAACTGAACTGTTATTATTACGTTTGGCATACAACTTATATGTTTCGATAGAGTGTGGTGGAAGGGGATTTTTTTAGAATAATATGTCGAGTGTAGAGGTTCTCTTTGTCCCCGGAATTCTGTCACCTTACCCGCCAACAACGCCAACAGATTTATTAAATCTGTGCTCTCGCTGGCTACTACTTAGTATGTCGTGTAGCGAGCTAGGCACCTGTTCTAGAAAGATTGTTCTTAGAATGGAGTTGGGCACGTTATTACCGGCCAGGCTCTTTAGGCATTTAGAAAGGCATTTAGGACGGTAGGAAGTTCGACGGGTTCTTATCGCGCATTCTATATGTCCTAAAGAGGTGACGGATTTTCGCCTCCCCGGCCTAGCCGAGTAGCTCCTGCAACTTTCTTGACTGTTGGTACTTCTCTGCAGCTGGTGGCGATTCCACGATGTCCGCATGATGGACAGAATGCAATATAACATAGTAATATTTTGTTGTGTCGCTAAATACTTTGGCAACCTGTAAAGAAATATGTCGGTAAAAACAACTGCGAATTAGTAATGGCTTATTCTAATATATCGACTTCATTATATGTAAGCATGAATGTGTGTGAAAGCCTATAGTATGTAAGATCTATCTTTAGTGTAAATACGTGTGTCTGACCAATAAAACATTAAAATCAAAACTAAAGTGTCTTATCAGGTTATTGGCCCATATCGTCTCCTGATGAAAAGTAAAAAACGTTAAAACAAAAAAATCAGCTAAAAATAGTAAATCGAACATGATCGAAAGACAAAGAATAATGGCTACTTATAACGGAAATCACAGCCACGAGGACAAATTGAAAAATTAAAAGACGAGTCAAATTTCTAATTTGGAAGTTCCAAATAACAATTTTATTTAAATCAATTAATGCACAAAATATAATAACCGGTAGAAGAAATCCCTGCAGAAGTTTGGAATGATAAAAAAAAGGTCGGATTGGGAACACAAAGACACAAATTTTCAAAAAATTATAATCACCTCAACTGAATGAAAACCGCAGATGCATATATTAAAATACAACATAAAAAAAAATGATGGACAAATTAACAGAAATATACGGAGAAGACACTAAACAGAAGAAATGCTCTCCACTCTGCAGAACTTTACAACTGCATATTTGAAGAAGGAAGCGACATAGCGTCACATGTAAGTACACTTGAAAATTTAGTATATAGATTAAATGCACTAAATCAACTAATAGATGATATCATATTAATTACAAAAATATTTACCACTTTACCGAGCCAGTATAAGCACTTCGTGTGTGCGTGGGAATCTAAGCCGAGAAACAAGAAAAAACCTTAACAAATTCAATAACTAGACTTGTTCGGGAGAGTTTCCGTCCTACAATGCCTATGGTCTGGGTGCAGGGTTGTTGGGGAATGTTTATGTATTTTAAATGACCTGAGCCTCTAACAAGCCTGTGTCGCTATAAACCCTTGGTCTTCTGGCTGAGCTTTGTTCTACAGCAGACAAGGCCCTCGAACATGTGTGAAACACTGGAGGCAAGGTCATCCACCCTTTGTGCCCCTAACTTGGGCCCGCGATTTCGCGAAGCCAATGGAAAGGGAACCGAGAGAGCTTTCCTTCGGCTTGCGAATTAGAATTGGACTTCCAATTTACATAGATCATCTCTCGCAATATTAGAATTACCACCGAGGGGAAAATCTCTGACACCACAAGCGCGCGACAAATATACAGGGTGTATCGTAACTTGGGACCCTTTTCGGGAGCTGATTATACGCCTAAAAATAATGATAAAGAGTCATAAATATATGTCTTCGTTTATGAGATACAATGAATTTTATAAACAGAGCAAACTCTCTGTCCGGCCTCTCTTTCTATAGACCGCAATAGCGATGAAACTAGTTTTATCAGAGATGGTATATTCAATTTTCATAATAATCATAATTGGGATGAAGAAATCCCACATGTTATTGTGCATTCAAGACAGCAACACTAGTTTAGTTTAAACGTATGGACACGAATAATTGATAAATTTTTAATTGGACCTTTTTCTCTTGATGGGAAACTAACAGGCAAAAAGTACGTTGATTTTTTGAGCACGCGTTTACATGAAATATTAGAGAAAGTTCCAGTCGATACTAATATCGTATGCGGTTTATGCATAATATGGAGCTCCGCCGCATTTTAGCCGAGTGGCTAGGCAATTTTTAAATCAACACTTTGCAAATAAATAGATTGGTCGTGGAGGTCCTATTGCATGGCTTGCTCGTTTTCCGGATTTGAATCCATTAGATTTTCATTTGTGGGGACATTTAAAATCTATTGTATGCGCAACATCGATTGAAAATGCTGAAATACTACGAAATAGAATAGAGCAAGACTTCCGACAAATTCCGAGAAACACCAGGAATGATAGAAAGAGTAACCAGATGAATGACAAGACGCGTGTAGGCTTGTCTTTAAATGCAAGGTGGTCATTTCGAGCATCTTTTGTAAAAGTAATTAAAACAAAATTCATTATATCTCATAAACAAAGACAGATAGGACATATATTTATATGACGTTTTTTCATTATTTTTAGGCATACAATCAGCTCCAAAAATGGGTCCCACAAGTTACGATACATCCTGTAAAGTCCACAACGCACACCAGTCATATATCTCGTATCGCTCGCTACGCGCGCGAACAAAACTACAAGCTGAAGAACAAAGATTAAATAAACACAACAATCAAGAAAAACCAGTAGCGTTTAAGTCAACAGTAAAGAAATGTTTTAAATGCAATGGTATTAATCACATAGAAAGATTTTACAGCCATTGCTGCAGATGCGAGCCATCCGAATGTAACAACTACAGAACTGGAAGTAAAAAATGTCGCCTGAACGAAACGAAAAATAATCATTCAGGAAATGAACAGAAATGTAACATCTGTAAAAAGATGAATTATATTGAAAGAAACTGCTACTTCAGAAAAAATAAGACTAACTTCGAAAAAAGTATACAGAAAACAAGGTATGTTTTTTAGCATGGATAGTAAATTCGGGAGCATCGAACCAATGGTTAATGACGTCAAGTTACTAGATAAGCAAAAATCTACAAATATTGAAATAGGTACGCAAAACGATAAATAAAAATGAATGGCAAAGTGATAGATGATGTAGAAACCAAAAATTGCATACTAAAAGGTGTTATATTAATTCCAGAACTAAGCAGGAATTTTCTCTCTATAGATGCAGTCACCCAAAACGACGGAATAGTAAAGTTCACTAAAAACAAGGTTGAAATTCTAAAAAATGATATAAAAATTCTAGAAGGCTTACGAGAAGAATTTTTTCACGATGTACATATGTGATTGACATTAAAAGACCTCAAAAAATAGAAAGTTTGTTAGCAACAAATGAAATTGCAAAAAATTGGCACAGAAAACTAGGACATTTGAGTCCTACAAATGTAAAAAGATTAATTAATCTAAGCGAAGGAATACATTTAACATTCAAACACTTTAACGATCAAGAAATATGTACCACTTGCATAGAAGCGAGACAAACAAGAAAACCGTTTGGAGAAAAAAGAATGAAAGCAACTAGACCTTTGGAAATTATACATTCAGATGTATGTGGCCCGATAGAACCGGCTACATGGGACGGGGTGAAATATTTTGTAACTGTGTTTGACAATTATACACATTTTGCGGCTGTCTTTCCAATACGAGGAAAATACGAGGTAAGTGACATTTTAGAATTTTAATAAAACAGTGCAAAGCGAAATGGAATTCAAAAGTTTCGAAATTGAGGTGCGACAATGGAAAAGAATACATGAATCGAAATCTCATAAAATGGTCCAAAAACAACGGAATAATTCTAGATTTTACGGTCCCATACACACCTCAATTAAATGGCAAAGCAGAAAAACTAAACCGTACAATATTAGATAAAACAAAAGCTTTACTAATAGATGCAAAAATTAACAAAAATATGTGGGGTGAAACAGTACGCACGGCAGTTTATTTAATAAACAGAAGTCCCACCAACGTAACTGTAAAAACGCTAGCAGAAAATTAGTTAGGCAAAAGGCCTGATCTCTCTAATCTACAAATTTTCGGCCTGATCTCTCTAATCTACAAATTTGCAATGCATATGCAAAAGAATTAGGGTACAAACGAAAATTAGATGGAAGAAGCAAAAAGTACATATTTATAGGATACTCTGCACGTGGCTACAGACTCTGGGACGAAGAGAAAGAGAAAATAATAATCGCAAGAGATGTTATTTTTGGAAATACTAGCGGAACTAAAAATAAAAATGATAAATCAAACTTGTCAAAAGCTACACTAAAATTACATCAAGAGAAAAAGGAAGATATCATTGAAGAAGAAACTACAGAAGTAGAGAAAGCAACAAACATGCAAAATACATATGACACAGAAAACATTGAAGAAATAGAGAAAGACACAAAAAACGAAACCAAAACAACAGTAAGAAAAGAATAAGAGGAAGGAGACTTTCAAAAAAATATGATAATTACTATGATGTACATCTTGCGTACAAAGAAGGAAAAGATTCTCAAAAATGGAAAAAGGCCATAGAAGAAGAAAAGAATTCCTTAAAATTAAATGAAACGTGAATTGAAATAGATTCAAATACGGTAAAAAATAAAAGGATGTTAACTACCAAATGGATCTTTAGGGTGAAGGACGATGGAAGATATAAAGCTCGTTTGGTAGCACGCGGGTGTGAGGCATCGATTATGAAGAAACCTATAATCCAGTACTACCAATTAGCACTCTTATGGCCTTGTCTGTATAAGAAAAACAATATCATAAAATGATATCAAAACCGCATTTCTGTATGGAAAACTAGAGGAGAAGCTTTACATAAAATTTCCAGAAGGTTTTGAAAATGGAAATAAAATCTGCAAACTTCAAAAGGCTATTTACGGTCTTAAGCAAGCATCATTAAAATGAAACCAGCGTTTAAAAAACTTCTTAAAACAAAATGAATTTGAATCGGTTCCTATCGACCAATATATTCAAATCAAGAAATGAACTAACAATTCTAGCGATATACGTCGATGACAGATAAAATAAAAGAACAACTAGAGAATTTGAATTAAAAATCTATGATACTTTTGATAGTTTTCTAGGAATAAGTATAAAAAAGTATAATAATAAAATATAGCTAAGTCAAACTGACTATGTAAAATTTTTATTAAGAGACAATTGTATGGAAAACTCAAAGCAAGTATAAACAATTGTAGATATAGGTACAAGTGCAGATCCAAAGGTAAAATCTGAAAAATCATTTCCTTACAGAGAATTAGTCTACAATATCTACTAAAACGCGTCCGGACATATCTTTCGCAATGCTAGTAGATTTGTAGAAAATCCATCAAACCAAAACATTACTAATGTAAAACGTATTTTGAGATATTTACAGGGAACCACAAATTTAGGAATTCAATATTCAAGAATGAATACAGTCGAAAATGATGGATTGATCGGATATTGTGACTCAGATTTTGCCGGTGATATGGTCACTTAGAAAAGCACAACAGGATACACAATTTTTTATGGAAATGGTCCGATAGGCTGGTGTTCACGCAGACAACCCATAGTATCACTATCAACCACAGAAGCGGAATATATAGCGGCTGCAGAGTGTTGCAAAGAACTCATACACTTACAAAATACTTTAAAAACCTTAATCAACAAGAAGGTAAAAACAAGACTTTTAATTGACAATTAAAACACGATCAATCTGATTAAAAACAGTATTTTCAACAAAAGAAGTAAACACATAGATGTTAGATTTCATTTTATACACGAAAAATATAGTGAAGGTATTATAAATATAGAATATTGTCCCACAAATGAACAAATAGCAGATGTACTAACGAAATCACTTAGTATCATAAAATTTAAAGAGTTTAGAAATAAACTATTACACGAAACACAAATTTGACCCGGATTTACTGATTTGCAGTTGAGAGGAAGTGTAAAGAAATATGTCGGTAAAGACAACTGTGAATCGGTAATGTCTTATTCTAATATATTGACTTCATTATATGTAGGCATGAGTGTGTGAAAGCATATAGTACATAAGCATATAGTACATAAGATATCTGTAGTGTAAACACGTGTGTCTAACCAATAAAATATTAAAATCAAAAAATCATTGCATATCTAAATGACAAGACATGTAAAAACTGAATTATCTTATCAACTTGCATCGCGGCTTGAACCTGCAAGAACCAAAATTTTGGGTTTTCTCTCTGGAATGACGGGAGTCTTTGAGCTTCATTGAGTTTATTCCCAGTCGTCGGTTAGCAGTGCCTCCTCCTACTGTTTGACCGACTACGTACGGGTTTGAGAGCACGGCGTAACCATCTTGTATTGTTTTCTTTTTTCTGGATCACGTTGGGTTTCATCAACTGTGGTACGTAAAAATGTGCTACGTACAGCTCTACAAAGGATTGATTTCGTAAAATTTTATTTAAACAGCTCGTTATCCCGGAAATACACCTTTCGGCGGAATGATTGACCAGAAGTAGGTGTCGCTGTACTATGTTACACGGAAAACGTTGCTACGCTACGTTTGCGGACGTAATTGCCGTTACAAAATTGTAGTACCTAGAGTAACGACATCTACTTCCACTCAATCGTTCCGCCGAAAGATACGTTTCCGGTAGTTGGACAGC